CAGGCTATCCTTAAGATCACTGTGTAGCCCAGGATGGTCTCGAACTTGCAGCAATCCCCCTGCCTCAGCCTCCCGAGTGCTGGGATTACAGACGTGTGCCCGGCATTAAAGAGGTTCTAAGAGGCAGTATGTGTGGTGGTTGATGCTTTGAAAACACCAGGGGAGGGTCGGGGATGTAGCTCAGCAGCATAGCACCTGCCTAGCAAGTGCAAGGTCCTGAGTTAGTTTCCCGGTAACAAAAAAAAAAAAAAAAAAAAAGAAAAAAGAAAACACCAGGGGAGAAAATACCATTTGCCTGGTCCATGTTTAAGAAGCCATCTGTACTTCCTGCTAAAGGAGCCAGGGAAGCCCGCTCGGTGCTCTGTATTATCACTCCCCGGGGGCTTGGGCTAGATGGACCCCCAAGCCTGGTGTGAGGTCATTAGGCCTCTCAGGTAGCCCAGAACCAGCTCTGGCGTTCCCAGTAGGGTGACTGACCAAGCAGCAGGGCATCGTGGGAGCAGCACCTCCCTTCCCCGGTGGTCTAGGATCTGCCTCTGTGCTGGCTGAGTGTGTTTCTATGGACAGAGCTGCTCAGAAGGTTCTGGCCAGTCTGGGGCCCTGCACCATGGCTGGGCCCTAAGGTCTGCTGCTCTGGGGTATAGGACACTCTAGAAGAGGGATCCTAATTTAGGGGGTTCATTTTGTGCTTCAAAGGACAGTGAACCCCTTGAAATTATAGACAAGACTTTGTGTCTTTTCTTTTTTAACACATCAAAATCAGTGCTCTGAGAAATGGTTTGGAAAATGTCCATGCAAGGGTTTGTTTGTGTGTGTGTTTGTTTTTGGAAACAGGGTTTCACTGTGTAGTTCAGGCTGGCCTTGAACTCACTGCTATGTAACCCAGGCTGGCTTGGGGCAAACTTGGGGCAATCCTCCCGTCTCAGCCTCCCCAGTGTTGGGACGACAGGTGTGCACTACCATGCCTGGTGACTTCGTATGTTTTCTGGGGGTCAGAAGGTTTCATTTTTGGTTTCTCTGCAGGTTTATGACCCCTACAAAAGTTAGGAACCACTGTATTATCGCTCCCCGGGGGCTTGGGCCAAATGGACACCCAAGCCTGGTGTGAGGTCATTAGGCCCCTCAGGCAGCCCAGAACCAGCTCTGGCATTCCCCGTAGGGTGACTGTGAATGTGCACTTGCCCTTCTGAGCTTTGGGAGTCCCTGCCATGACCCCGTGGTCAGTTTCCCTTCTTCTGCGCACACAGAGAATGTCACCAACGGCACAGTGGGGGCCACTGCAGAGCCCGAACCTGAGGAGGTGACGTGGATGAATGGCTGGCTCAGCTGCAAGGCCCAGGATGAGATCTTAAACCTGGCCTTCACCGTGGGCTCCTTCCTGCTCAGTGCCATCACCCTGCCCCTGGGCATCATCATGGACAAGTATGGCCCGAGGAAGCTCAGGCTGCTGGGCAGGTCAGTGCGGGGTCCTGGGGACGGGTGGGCAGGTGGATCCCCGAGGGAATCTTGGAGCCTGCTGTCAGGTGCTCTGTGGGGCTCCCTGAGTGCCCAGGCTGGGGGTGACAGTGTAGCTCAGTGTAGCTTAGAACACGTGCTTAGCCTACACGAGGCCTAGGTTCCATTGCCAGCCCAGCAAAATAGGTCAATTAATTAAATAAAAAAAGATAAATAAAACTTTTAGAATGAATGAGATTAAAGAATGGAAATCCTAATATAGTGGTGATGAACCTATGTGTGTTATTGTGTTTTTCTTTTAGGAGAAAAATGTTAATGTAGAGTGGTTTTTTTTTTTTTTTTTTTGGTCTTTTTGAGACAGGGTCTTGCTATGCAGTTCAGGCTGGCCTTGAACTCACTTTGTAGCCCAGGTTGGTCTCGAATTCACGACAATCCTCCTGCCTCAGCCTCCCAGGTGCTAGGATTACTGGTGTGCGCCACCATGCCTGGCTTAGAGTTGTTTTTTCTAAAGTAAAACTTCAGCATTCGGGTTTAATTGCAGTGTTAGCACTTTGTGATAAATAAGTGAGCTTTGGGTTGCAGTTTGGCATTTGGTGTGTAAAACGTTCGCCATCCCCGTCCTAATATATTAGGGCTCTTAGGGTCACCTTGTGTGCCCTCTGGGGTGTGTGTTCCTGGTCTCTAAAGCTCCAACTGTCAGATTCAGGGTCAGTTCACCATCAGCTGGGCTCTCCGGTCTGTCCCTTCCCCTGTTCCCATTGGAACTTTGCAGGGCGTGGCTCACCGTGGGCAGAGCCCGTGACTGAAGGGGATGGGGAGGGCATCAGTTCTACTCACTCTTCCAGCTGAAGAAGCCTTGGTTTCCAGGGCTGAGTCAAGTGGAGGGGCTTTGGGAGCAGCTGTCATCTCCCTGCTTCCTTGGCTGAGCAGGCTCAGGAACCTGAGGAATGCTTGTGTTTCCCCTTGCTTTAGAGCCTCTGGCTCCGTCCCACAGGGGAGCGGGCAGTGCAGTGTGGGGTTTATGAGATCTGGTTGAGGCTTTAGTTCCAACTTTGTCTCTTGTTGGGTAGGAGACCTTAGAGAAATTAGTTTTCGTTTCTTTTTTTTGGTTTTTTGAGACAGGGTCTTGCTATGTAGTCAGGCTGGCCTTGAACTCACTGTATATCCTAGGTTGCCCTTGAACTCGTGGCAGTCTTCCTGCCTCAGTCTCTTAAGTGCTGGGATTACAGGTGTGTACCACCATGCCCAGCCTTTTTTTTTTTTTTAATGTTTATTTTCTTTATCAGCAAGTAGGGGCCAATCATTTTCTTTAGCAATTCCCAGGACTTTTTTAAAATTTAATTTTATTTTTTTGGTAATACAGGAATTGAACCAAGGGCCTTTACACTATGCTATGTCCCCAGCTCTTTATTTTGAAAAAGGATCCTGCCAGGCACGGTGGCGCACACCTGTAATCCCAGCACTCAGGAGGCTGAGGCAGGAGGATTGTTGCGAGTTTGAGACCAGCCTGGGTTACAAAGTCAGCTCAAGGCCAGTCAGCCTGAACTGCATAGCAAGACCCATCTCAAAAAGAAAAAAAAAGAAAAGAAAAAGGGTCTTGTTAAGTCACTAAATTGACCAGCCTGGGCTTGAATCTATGATCTTTCTGCCTCACTTCCAGAGTTCTGGGATTTGTGCCACACCCAGCTCCTAGGACTGTTTAATCAAATGACTGTAAATGTTCTGAAAGGGTGCAGAGTAAATACCCCAAAATGATCATGATACCTAATAGCAATCAGTAACTTAATAAATAAGGTGCTGTTTCTGCTCGGTTTTAGTGCCTGCTTTGCTGTCTCCTGCTTGCTGATTGCATATGGAGCAAGTAACCCAAAGTGTGAGTCTGCCTTTTCTCCACTTTTCTGCCAAGGACTGGGGAGAGACTTCCTGCAGGCGCGCCCTGGCCCGCCTGCTGTTGGATGCTGTGTGTGGGGCCTGGTGCTCCCTGCTCACACTGGAGGGGGTACCTGTTAGGCCTCTGTTGGTTGCTTATCTCAATGGGTGGCCAGGAAAGAGAGGAATCACCCCAGACAGATGGTTAGAGGAGCTGCAGCGTGCGCAGAACTCCATATCATCTTCAAGCCAGCTGGTTCCTGGTGGCCTTGCTGATGTCAGCCTGGGAGATGCGCTCTGGGAGCCGGGCTGGCCGCAGGGACCTGGGCCTCCGTGGATACGGAAGTTGTGAGCTGAGCCTTTGCGAGGCAGCCTAAGCCGGTGCTTTAAATAGGGCTCAGAAGCCACTTGCTTTCTGTCCCTGTTCAGATGGGGCCATTGGCGCAAAGACTTGGAGGATAAACGCCAAAATAGGCCCTAAATCCCACCAGGGTCTTAGCTGGGCTCACTTAGTGACGTTTAAAACCAAAAGCCTAGGTTTTCTGGTTTTAGTGAACCAGGTCCTTTAGGCCCCTTGCTTGCAGCTAGGTTAGTGGAGAAAGGAGGAGGCTGCCTTTTGCATGAGTTCAAGCTCCATGAGGTAGGCCTGGGGAGGAGGGTAAGCAAGAGGCCTTCCCCGCCCTGGGTATCAGGCACTAAACGCTATGGCTTGTCCTCTCAGCCTGCATTTATTGAGAGCCTGCTCCCAGGAGGCCCTGGGCCAGGCCCTGGCCTTGCTGAAGCTCAGCTGTGGCTCCCCGACTTAGGACTCTGTTTGTCTACAGCTCTCTCCGTGCTCATCTTCATTGCCCTGGCCCTGAATGGCTTTGGTGGGATGTGCATGACCTTCACCTCGTTGACAGTGAGTATCTGTGTTTCACTTTTGTTTTTGTCCTCAGTCACCCGCTTGTGAATTTCAGGCAGCTTTCATCGGTTTCCACTTCTTTCCCTTCCATTCGCCTGTATAATCCCGGGTGTCCCAAGAAGGGGAGGGCTGACAGCAAAGTCATTCCTGGCCTCCCAAGCCGGGAAGTCCTGCAGGCAGCCGGCATGGCTCTTAGGGTGCTCAGCGCGCTGCCTGCTCTCCTTGGCCTTGGCTCTGAGGACGCACCTAGAGAAGACAGGAGCGGGAAGGGAAAGGCCGCCGCCTGCTTGTTCTTTTATTTTTCGTCACCAAGTGTCTCCGGGAGCACAGGCGAATAGTGCAACCAAAAGCCAACCTCCCTCTGAATCTCCCCAGCTCCAACCTTTGCCTTTGCCCAGAATGGAATGAGAAACTCAGGAGCACCTGTGTGGGTCTCTTCTTGGTTTTCTAAAATGCCAGGGCAGAAGGCTAGGGTGTGGTTCAGTGGTAGAGCACTGGCTTAAAATGTGTGAAACCCGGGGCTGGGGATTTAGCTCAGCGACAAAGCGCCTGCCTGGCAAGCGCAAGGTCGTGAGTTCGGTTCCTGGTACCGGAGAAAAACCAAAAAAACCAAAAAAACCAAAAAAAAAAAAAAAATGTGTGAAACCCTAGTGTGATCCTTAGTATTAAAGGAAAGAAAGGGGTAAAGAAGGAAAGGAAAAGAAAAGAAAAGGAGCCTGGTTCTGGGGAGAGCGGTGTTTTCTCACCATACTGAGTGCCCCTTTCTTGGGACCAACAGGATATCACAAAATGTGCTGCTTTTTGAGGTGTGGCTGGGGGGGCTCTTGCAGGAAGGCACAGACTACAGGAAAGAAAATCCAAGTGGAACAAAAAAGTCTTCCTGGGGGGGAAAAGGGGAGCTCTCTGCATGCTTCTGGGTCAGACAAGGGTGCCGTTCAGAGCCAGGACAGCACTAAGAATAATAGACTATTGCCCAACAGGGAAATCTCATCTGCCTCAGTTTACCGAGAAGTTGTTTTCAGGATATAGTATGTACCATTGCTATTTGCACTCTGGTTTCTGATTTCTCTTCTTACCGGTGAGTCATGATGTTGAAGGGCCTGTGTTTTGTTCCACGGAGCTGTGGGGACTTCTGGTCCTTTGATTATGAGCTTGGAGAGGTACTGGCAGCTTGGTGATCACCTGCAGGCCACGTGCCAGAGGCCAGGCCCGAGGTCTCCTCTTCTCCCCGTTTCTCTGCTTTGCCTTGCTAGCTCTGTCCGGGCGGGGAGGGTTCAGAATGCGGGCCCAGGTCCGTGGACATAGAAAGTTCACTGCAGTCTGTGCTGGCTGAGCAGAGCCCAGCGCCGGCGATATGTATGCCGTGCTGTGAAGTGGGTGTCTCAGAGGTGTCCCTGACACCCATGAATGTGGGCACTTGGTTACTTTGTCTGTGTTGGTGTCAGGGAGATGCACATTATATTCTTTCAGGCACGTTTATTTTGGTTCTTCTAACCAGATAGAATTAAAAGAAAAATAGATACATCTTCCCTGCAAATTCCCAGAGGAAGACATGTGGAAACTGTAACAAATGTGTTTACCATCAGGCGCGCAATTCCCCTAAGTTGTGTAAATTGTGAAACAGGAGTCGTGGTTCTGTTTGTTCTTGGACAGTGTGAAAACCACCAACCCTTTCATCAAGGTGAAAAATAAAACTCTGGCATCATCCCCACTGTTTTAGTCATGCCGGAGTTCTGTGACAGCAGGTCTGAATTTCAGAGGTAAAGAATAAGATGGCCCCAGGCAGGCGTGGTGCTGCACTCCTGTAATCCCAGCACTTGGGAGGCTGAGGCAGGAGGATCGCTGCGAGTTTGAGGCCAGCCTGGGCTACATAGTGAGCTCAAGGCCAGCCTGAACTGCGTAATGAGACCCTGTCTCAAAAAGACCAAAAAAAAGGGGCTGGGGATTTAGCTCAGCGGCAAAACCCCTGCCTGGCAAGTGCAAGGTCGTGAGTTCAGTTCCTGGTACCAGGGAAAAAACAAAAAAAAAAAAAAAAAAAAAAAAGAAAAAGAAAAAGAAAAAGAATAAGATGGCCCTGGAACTTGAGGAATTTAAGCTCCAAAATGCAGAGAGATGCTATTTCGTAGTAAAGCATAAAAGGGGCTGGGTGTGCCCAGCATGCTTGAGATCCTGGTTCTGTCCCTAGCAACATACACACATGAAGATGAATGTATAAAAAGCACCACACTCTAAGTCTCCTTCTAGAAAGGCTTAAAAGTAAACTTTGAAGTTAACTAACTAAATAAATAAGAACAACTAGTAGGCCCATAAGTACTTTTTTTTTTTTGGGTACTGGGAATCAATCTCAGGACCTTGTGCTTGTTAGGCAGGCATTTGTGCCACTGAGCTATATCCCTGGACTTCTTATTTTTCATGAGTGTAAAACAGATGATTTTTGGTGCATACCTGCAATCCTAGCACTTGGGAGGCAGAGGCAGGAGGATCATCATGAGTTCAAGGCCAGCTTGGACTACATAGTGAGACCCTGTCTCAAAGAAACAAACAAAAAAAACAAGCAAAAAACATACATGTGCACATGATTTTATTTTTTACTTTTTTTTTTTTTTTTTTTGAGACAGGATCTCACTCTGTAGTTCAGGCTGTCCTTGAACCCTCTGTGTAACCCAAGCTGGTTTTGAACTCACAGCAATCCTCCTGCCTCAGCCTCCTGAGTGTTAGGATTATAGGCATGCGCCACCACACCTGGCATTGTTTTTATTTTTAAAATTTAACATATTAGAAATATCGGCAGGGCATGGTGGCGCACACCTATAATCCCAGCACTTGGGAGGCTGAAGCAGGAGGTTCATTCCAAGTTTGAGACCAGCCTGGGCTACAAAGTAAGCTGAAGGCCAGCCTGAACTGCACAGTGAGACCTGTCTCAAAAGGAAAAAAAAAAAAAAATAGACTGTAAAAAGAAAAAAGAAATATATAGACTGTAAAATTCCATTGTATCTATCTATCTTCATCAGTTTTGAAGTATATTTCTTCAGGATTGCTTTAAAACATTTACATACCAAAGGTACTTTATTTATTTATTCATTTACATATATATATATATTTTTTTTTCATTTTTAAAAGAGAGTCTTGCTATGTAGTAAAGGCTGGCCTTCAACTCACTATGTAGCCCAGGCTGGTGGTCTCGAACTCGCAACAATCCTCCTGCCTCAGCCTCCCAAGTGCTGGGATTACAGGCATGTGCCACCATGCCTGGCCCCTAGAACTCTACCTTCTTATTTTATTTTATTTTATTTTTCATTTTTTGGTACTAGGAATCAAACTCAGGACCTTGTGCTTGCCAGGCAGGTGCTGTACTGCTGAGCTATATCCCTGGCCCAACCTTCTTATTTTAAATACTAGAGATCTTCCTCTTTATTAAACAGTTATTATTTTATAATATAGATGTACCATAATTTATTCAACCAGCTTCCTACAGTACACGTTTGGCTTAGTTTTCAATTTCTGCAGTTTATGGATGCTGTTGAGGTGAACTTCCCTGTACATGTATTTCTTTGTTTTTTTTTGTTTTTTTTCCTATACTGGGAATCGAACTCACGACCTTGCGCTTGCCAGGCAGGCACTGTGCTGCTGAGCTGAATCCCCAGCGCCCTGTACATGTATTTCTATAAAATAAATTCCTGGAAGTGGAATTGCTAAGCCACAGCATAAGCATGTTTTAAAATTTAATATGTGCTGTTACATGGCCTTCTAGAAAGGTTATACACGTACACAATCCTACCAGCGTGTCAGAAAGTACCTTTTTCTCCATCTCCCTCCAAGACCATATCATTCATCTTTATTTAAACATTACCCACTCTTTCTGAAAAATGATATACTTGATTTTTTAAAATTTCTTTAATTATGCAGGAGATAGAGCATCCTTTCACCTCTCTTTTGCCCATTTCTATCTCTTGTAAATTACTTCTTTGTGTCACTTGTCTATGTCATTTTCCGCCAGGCATGGTGGGACACGCTTGTAATCCCAGCACTTGGGAGGCTGAGGCAGGAGGATCATTGCAAGTTCGAGGCCAGCCTGGGCTACAAAGTGAACTCAAGGCCAGCCTGAACTGCATAGTGAGACCCTGTTTCAAAAAAAGACAAAAAAAAATCATTTTCCTTTAACATTTTTTTTTAACATTTTGTAAGAGCTGTTTCAAATACAAAGGAACTAGCTCTCTCTCTGATTGAGCAAGGGATCTTACCCAAGGACCTTTGTCCCTTTCAGTGGTCCATGAATAAGCTTCAGGAGAGCTGTGGACCTGTGGAAATTCTTTGCAAACACCTGCAGTCTCAGTCTGCCTCGGGGCATCTTGCTGGAGGGCTGTCCAGGCTGGTGTGACCCTGAGACTCGTGGGAGGGTCTCTGTGAGCGCCTGGCTGTCCCCTGCAGATGAGGCAGAAAGCCATTGACTTGGCTTTGACTGTGAGCAGGCAGCGAGGATCTGCTGCAGGGAGGGCGCATGGCCTGTCCTCTGAGGTCCCCATCCTGGATCTAGAGCAGAGATCAGCAAATCACCATCCTGAGGCCAGATTCGGACTGCAGCCTGTTGTGATAAAGTCCTGCTGGGCCCTCACCAGGCGTATTTGTCTGCACGCTGTCTGTGGCTGCCTCTGTGCTGTGGTGGTCCTGACAGAGACCACATGGCCGCAGAGCCTGAAATATTTACTCTCTGGTCCTTACGGAGCCTTTGATCTGGAAGCTCCAAGCTGCTGCTGCAGGCCCTGAGAGCCGGCTGCCGCCCCACCCCCAGGCCCCAGTTGCTCAGGCCGGCTCTCTAAACACTTCTGCAGTCACCTCTTCCCAGCCCCCTCTGGCCTGGAGGGGTCTCCTTGGACATTCCCCTGTCCCATGAGGCCTGATCTCATGAGAACAGACCCCGAAAGGGAAATGGGAAGCAGGTCAGTGAGGACAGGCCGGAGCTGTTGGGCAATGCTCCTGGGCTGGCCAGGGCTTCTGCT